TTGCTTTAACATCAGACATAGTACAAACAATAGCAATGAAAAAGTGCAGGATAGAAAATGGGTATGGAACAGAATAATACCAAATATACTAATCAGGTAGATGATAACGATTGATCTAGTCCATTGGTCGGCAAGCCGCGGCTCGCGAGCCACATGCGGCTCTTTACACACTCTAATGCGGCTCTTCTGTGTGTGCAGGGCGCCCGCTCCCCTCCCTCCTCTCGGGCGGCCGCCCCAAAAGTCAGGACTCTGCAGCTAGCCCAGCAATGGGCAAACTACGGCCCGGCGGACCTTTTAATCCGGCCCGCGGAGCGTGGCAAACATTGGCTGTCAGGATGTGGGCGGGGCAGCGTGACGAACTCCTCTCCTCTCACAGTCCGCCCTGAAGACCGGAACGGCGCGGGAACACGGCGAGAGGAACGCGCGGAGCAAAGGTAAGTGAATTGACACAATATGGGGAATGAATTACTATAGGGAGGGATGAATTACTATAGGGGGGATGAATTACTATAGGAGGGATGAATTACTATAGGGGGGATGAATTACTATAGGAGGGATGAATTACTATAGGGGGATGAATTACTATAGGAGGGATGAATTACTATAGGGGGGATGAATTACTATAGGGGGGATGAATTACTATAGGAGGGATGAATTACTATGGGGGGATGAATTACTATATGGGGGATGAATTACTATGGGGGATGAATTACTATAGGGGGGATGAATTACTATAGGGGGATGAATTACTATGGGGGATGAATTACTATATGGGGGATTAATTACTATATGGGGGATGAATTACTATAGGGGGGATGAATTACTATATGGGGGATGAATTACTATGGGGGATGAATTACTATATGGGGGATTAATTACTATATGGGGGATGAATTACTATATGGGGGATGAATTACTATATGGGGGATGAATTACTATGGGGGATGAATTACTATATGGGGGATGAATTACTATATGGGGGATGAATTACTATATGGGGGATGAATTACTATAGGGGGGATGAATTACTATATGGGGGATGAATTACTATATGGGGGATGAATTACTATGAGGGATGAATTACTATATGGGGGATGAATTACTATAGGGGGGATGAATTACTATATGGGGGATGAATTACTATATGGGGGATGAATTACTATGGGGGATGAAATTACTATGGGGGATGAATTACTATGGGGGATGAATTACTATATGGGGGATGAAATTACTATATGTATTGGGTTCAGAATCTTTTTTTTTAGATTTTCCTCCTTTAAAATTTGGGTGCGTCTTATATTCCGGAGCGTCTTATATGGCAAAAAATACGGTACATACCTGTGATAAATAAATAACATAAGGGGGTTTTAGAGGTTTGATTTATAAGCTATTAAAGCTCTAAATGTTTTCTTCTTTTTATATTGCATTGTGTTTTTTTTTTGTTTTTTTTTTCAACCACCACACCATAAATAATATGTATGTATTTAGGTTTTCTTGCATAGCTGCAGTGAGTTTGCATTTATTGGTTATGGGTATGACATTATTTTATTTTTTTTTTCATTATTTTTTTTTTCTTGTTCAATATTTTATGGTTTTAACATCAGACATAGTACAAACAATAGCAATGAAAAAGTTTCGGATCAAAAATGGGTATGGAACAGAATAAATAGATAACATAAGGGGGTTTTAGAGGTTTGATTTATAAGCTATTAAAGCTCAAAAAACTTTGCAACTTCTTTTTATATTGAATTGTCAATTTATATAAAGAATGCAAAAAAAAATGACGGGTGGGGTTTAGGGATCATGTGACCACCGTGACACGTCGTCACAGCGGCCACATGATCGGGAAAGGTCCCGATGGAAAGAGCAGAGCGGGACCTTTCCGTGAGTACCGGACATGTGTGCTGAGAGTGCGCAGGGAAGAGGTTAAATATGTATTGTGCATGTTGTTTAATATTTCGTGTATATGTGTTTTTTTTTCAACCACACCATGAATAATATGTATGTATTTACATTTTCTTGCATAGCTGCAGTGAGTTTGCATTTATTGGTTATGGGTGTGACATTATTTTTTTTTCTTGTTCAATATTTTACTGCTTTAACATCAGACATAGTACAAACAATAGCAATGAAAAAGTGCCGGATCTAAAATGTGTATGGAACAGAACAATACCAAATATACTAATCAGGCAGATGATAACGATTGATCTAGTCATATGATAAAACATTATTTTATGTTCAAGGCAGCAATGCAGGGAGGAGGAGGAGGAGAGGAAGGTCGTTATGTAATCTTATGAAAGTTGAATTAAGTGTTTTCATGTTTTTTTTACATTGTTTTTATAATTGCTTAGCACTGCATACATTACTTCATGTAATTTAAAGCATATTCATGTCAAGAATATTTGAAAAAAAAATTTCTTAATTTTATTTTTTGTAAAATACTTTTCTCTTACTCTGTACTGTGCATGTTGTTCAATATTTAGCTTAGTGCTTTATGGGCAATTTAAAGTGTATCTAAACCCCGGAACAACAATGTCATTTATTGCAGCTCACCAGTCCTTGTGTGTGGTCTCTGCATTAGTGTCCATGCACACATAGGCTTTAATCAGCATTGTTTGGCTGGAAAAAACCCCAGAACTAGTGAGTTTCTAGAGGAGTTTTTAGCAGTAAAATATGGCAAACCAGCGTTTTTGGACTTTTTTTAGCAAAACATTTTTTTTGTGTTAAAAAACCGCTTAAAACGCAAACGTGGAAAAATGCGGAAAACGCTAATGCAAAAACGCAGAAAAATGCATTTTTAACATGACTGCCAGCATTATTAATACAACCCGTGTGCAGGGAGCCTTAGTTTTCATTTTCATTTTTTTACCTGGTGATCCTGTCAATAACAGGCTTCCTGTCCAAGGGTGACAACGCTGTCTCACAGCACGGTATCTATGGAGGGGCGGTGTTCTGTAGTCCACAGAGTGAACTCAGGCAGGGCTGATAACAATGTTTGAAATTTCAGTGCAGCATTGTCAGCTCACTACATGAATTTAGGAGTTCAATGGATTTCCGGCGGGATCCACAAGTCATTTTTTGCAGTTATGAAACAGACTGAACATTACACCATCAACTGGATATTTCAGACCTAAAATTCATTGTTAGGTCCATCTTCTTACTGCGAGGAGATATTACTACATGCTGACAATCATTTCATTAACAATGCATTGACTTAGTGTGCTTTACATGATCCAACTGCCAACCAATAAGGGGTGACGTACTTAAGGCAAATAGACTGAGCACTTTGCAATTGCAGTTTCTCCAGAGCTTAGTAAATGAGGTAAAACTCCACCTTGCACCTTCACCCAATCACATGCAGGGAAAATTTAAAAACAACACTTTTGCTCACACATGATTGGATGACGGAAGTCAGCATAGCGTCTGCCCATTCAGTAAGCTCTGGAACAACTGCTCTTGCAGAATGCAACTGACGTTTGCAAAGTGCACCGTTTATTTGCCTTTAGTAAAACCAACCCCATAGTGTGATCTCTCAGCAGCACCGGAAAAACCTCTATAGGGAGAAATACCTAGGCTTCCATCGCTGACCTCCTTTTTTAAAATACTAACTGCCTGGCTGGTATGCTTTTCCAATGTCCAGTCGGTATGTCATTCAGGAGTTCTGACTTTCTAAGCTGCGCAATTATTCCGGGTTCAAATATCTCATGAAGCAAGTCAGAGACAGCCAGGCAATTAGCATTTTCAGGGGGAGACAACTGCATTAATACTTTATGCTTCTCAGTATATAGTAGATTTCCTTTAAGGGGGGCACAGCCCATATGGAAGAGAAATATATTTGAAATATATTTTAAAAATATTCTTTTCAAATAAATTGCCATATATTTGAAATGCTACAATTTTGGCCATATTCAATATATTTTAAAAGAAATATAATTTTATATCTATTTTATATCTATAAAAATAGATATAAAATTATATATCTATTTTGTGTGTGTGTGTGTGTGTGTGTGTGTGTGTGTGTGTACTGCATGTTGAAATGAGTTTTTATTACAAAATGTATGAGAAATATTTTTAATAATGCATTTCAAATATACTGCATGTCTTTAAAAATACAAATCTACATGTTTGGAATGCATTTACACAAATATTTGTAAAAAATATATGTTAAAATTACTTTTTTATATGTTAAACAAAATCTGAAGAATATTTGTAAAAAATATATTTTAAAAAATATATATTTTTAAAATATATTCTTCAGATTTTTTTTTACATATTCAAAAGTCATTTTAACATATATTTTACATATATTTGTAAATGCATTCCAAACATGTAGATTTGTATTTTTAAAGACATACAGTATATTCGGAATGTATTTTTAAAAATATTTTTCATATAGTTTTTAATAAAAACGCATTTTAACATGCAATATATATATATTTATATCTTTTTTTTTTTTAATACATTGAATATGGCCAAAATTGGAGCATTTCAAATATATGGCAATATATTTGGGAAGAATATTTTTAAAATATATTTCAAATATATTTTTCTTCCATGTGGGAGGGGCTGTTGAAAGACCAGGATTTGTGATTATACTTCTGTGTATGAAAACATGTCAAAAGGAACAGAGATTCTTTTTTTTTTTTATTACACCTTTGCTTTACATTCGGTTAATTTCTGGATAAAGAAAGAATGTTTCTTCACTTTGTATTGCATTTTAGTTATATATGACATGAATGTTTATCAATAAGAAAACCATGACATTAAAAAAGTAATCCCATTTCACTTACACAGGTATTAGGAAATTGTTTAAATGTTTGGTATATATATATATATATATATATAACATTATATTTTGTCTTTGTGTAGAAATGTGCTCACATCCTATGGAAAACACAACATCTCCTCTAGATGTGCACATTTTGCCATTTTTCATGAAAACTGACCACAAATTGTTCATCGTCAGCACTGTCTGCTTTTTCTTCATCTATATAATTGGAATGCTGATGAACACAGTTATCATTGCAGTGATATGTTTGGACCTCCATTTGCACACCCCGATGTATTTATTTCTCTGCAGCTTGTCTATTATTGATATGTGTTATACAACTGTCACCATTCCAAAACTCCTCTACATCTTACTATCTGGAAATAATACAATGCCATTTACACAATGCCTTATCCAGATGTATTTTGTGCTTACAGCGACCAGTGCTGAGATCACCATTCTACTTATAATGGCGTATGACCGATATGTCGCAATTTGTCACCCTTTACACTATCATCAGATACTTAATAAGAAAATCTGTATATTACTTATATTAGTCACCTGGATTGGTGGGAATATAAATTCATCTTTTATTACAAATTCAATTTTAAAAATGATTTTCTGTTCTTCTGTTACCATTCACCAGTTCTTCTGTGATGCTAAAGCTCTCATCAACATTGCCTGCGGTGGTACTGAAATGTTTTATATCATCTCCTATGCAGAGTATTTAGTATTTGTGTTCTGTCCAGTTATGTGCAGCTTGCTGTCCTATGTACAGATTATCAGGGTCATACAACGTATTACATCTAAGGATGGCAGAAGAAAAGCCTTCTCCACCTGTTCATCCCACCTCATTGTTATGGCCATCTACTATGGATCTGGTGTATCTGTATACATGACACCACCATCAGACCGCTATGCCATACTTGAACAGATCTTAACCATGTTCTACTCCACAGTGGTCCCCGTGTTGAACCCTCTCATATACAGTCTACGAAACAAAGAAATTAATAGTTCTTTGCGAAAACTAGTGTCGTAACACTCACCAGCAGAGATGAGGTTTGGGTTTTCCACCACCATGGACTTGCATCAAATTCTGCATTGTCAACATTCAAGGGCCTGAAATATTTATATGAGAATTCACCAAACCCAATTCATTGTCACCAGAAAAGACTGCCTTGTCTTTGAACATAGGTCGTTTGATTTAGAAGGGCTAGTAACAGGGATTTCAGATAGGCCAGCCCCCTCACTATAGAACGACATTTCCACCATGTATGAGAATGTGATTTAGCTGTGATAGGGAACACATAGGGACAGACACTGATAGGGAGCTTTGATTGGTGTAAGATTTGTAGGCACTGGCAGGTCTGGTGAAGAAGGGCTCGGGGCTCACATTCCCTCAGCCTGCCCCGTGCCGATCTGCGAGAAACATCGTTCCTCATCCCACCGGTAATCTGACAGTTCTGGCTTCTGACAGTACATCAGTGGCTCCTGCTCATCCTCCTTGTCCTCTCCTGCTCATCCTCCTTGTCCTCTCCTGCTCATCCTCCTTGTCCTCTCCTGCTCATCCTTCTTGTCCTCTCCTGTGGGCATATTATGGCTCAGAGAATTTGTTGTTAATCTTGGAGTTGATGCAGCTGTCCAATCAGGAATGGAGGGATCAGATGACAAAGACTGGCAGCACTTGTGACAGATGAGTGTACATCGGGAAAATCTGAGTGCATTGGATTCTTTTATGTTTGCTTGGAATAAAGAAAGGTTTCATGATAGGGAACCACTTCCTCTGATTCTTTTTTTTTTTCTTTGGATTAGATTCACATTGTCCATACAAACCTTGTTGGCAATCAGGGGAAAGCAGCCGTTATCCTGGCTTATCCATTGGAGTTTCCCAATAGTGGATGGACTGGAGTCTCATGAATGCAGGAGCAGGGGCGGGCTGACCATTTGGAAACTTGGCCACTGCCCGAGGGCCCAGGGTCAGTAGGGGGCCCCATGAGATGCCCCTGGTACCTTTTTTATAGGCTTTTTTGAGTTTGAGCAAGGACACACGGCCCCATGATCCCCTATTGCCCGGGGGCCCCATGAGTTGTCAGTCCGCCCCTGTGCAGGAGTGACATTTTTTCAACATGGTTTTATCTTTTTTTATTCTTACTTACATTTCAATGCATCCTCTTTACAACCTGTCCCTGTTCACATGGACTAAAGTGATAACAGGGCATATGGTCTTATTGTTGTTGGTTGCAATTGTGTTCTCACGTGCCTTTTTCTTTTTTAAGAAGATCTTTCGTGAAAATTAAAGATATACCCTATTTAAAGTCCCCTACCCCTCTACCCCCCCAAACCCCCCCCCCCCCCCCCCCCCCCCCCCCCCTTAAGTCGAATCACCCACAAAGGTAATTTGTCAAATAAAACTGTTTTAAGTAAAAGAAAAAAAATATTTACCTTGACCCCAGTTTCTGATCCTTCCAGGAGGTAAGAGTACTGTTGTGTGGGTATTATCATCAGGTAACATCGCTGATTCCTGGGATAGCTGGGGGCGGGGGATCATAATAGGACATTTTCATGGAAGGTCTGCTTTACACAGTGACAACAGTGGAAATGCCTTTATAATTTACTTCAGCATAGCAGCTTCTAGTTTTGTTTGGATAAGCATGTGACTTACATGTGATTTCCAGGAAGGCGATTGTGGGAGACAGAATCAGAGCATTGTCACCCCGTTATGCAATGTGCCCAAACAAGGATCTTTATATCAGTACTAGAGATGAGCGAATTATTCAAAAATTCGGTTCGGCTGATTCGCCGAATTCGCCGAATAAATTCGCTTCGAGCCGAATATATTCGCTGCGAATTTAACTTATAAAAAGGGTTTCTAGGCTTCAGAGAGCCTTTATATTAGTGCAGAACACTGTACCTTTAATTTAAATGCCCTTGGAGTCTGCTGGGGAAGAGAAATAATACTGTCAGTCAGTATGACATGCAGATGAGTGCCGTCGATCTTAGAATCACCGCACACTTCACTCATTTGGGCAGTCACGGGGCCAAAACCAGAGTGTGGAGCCACAGTGTGGGTGGTGGAGGCAGCAGCAATGGGAGGCCATACAGCACCCTATGACAAAATGGAACCCACCAGCAGTGTGAGGAGACCTGAAAGTGGCACATGGCAGAGTGTGTGGCGATGGAGACAGCAGCAATGGGAGGCCGTACAGGGACCCATGACACACTCTGGACCTGGCAGCAGCATGAGGAGGCGGTACAGGGGCCCATGACAGATTACGGGCCTGGCAGCAGCATGAGGAGTCGGTACGGGGGCCCATGGCAGATTACGGGCCTGGCAGCAGCATGAGGAGGCGGTACAGGGGCCCATGTCAGAGTGGCGGAGCGTAAGCAGCTAAAATTGAAGGCCATACAGAGGCCTATGTTAAAAAGTCCCCCCAGCAGCAGCGTGGGGAGACGACTATCAAGAGTCCAATGGCAGAGTGGCGGAGCAGAAGCAGCTTCAATTGAAGGCCATACACAGGCCTAGGTTTAAAAGTCCCTCACAGTTAATTCCAATAACGAACTCTACTCCTCCGTGCAATCTACTTACGAGACCCTGGGCAGGTCTGGGTCCAATTTGTGGTAGAGACTGGTTTTGTTCAGCCATGCTTGAGCGAGTAATAACAGGTCTGTGCTGCCCTTTGGTGTCTGGCTTAATGCGCACAACACTGAACGTCCCAGCATTTGTCAACGATTTGCCGTTAAGTGATGCAAACCCGCTGAACCACCACTGAAAGCACTAATCACCCAAAAATATTACCGCCACCCGGCGTGTAAATGGATCTAACTCTTTGAACGTACAATAGTGGTTGTGAAGCAGAAAGTCAGTTTATTGTACACAATCGGTCAATTGCAGCTTGCCGTTGGCTGGAAACTGTACGTTTGTGTCACTGGAATGCACTAATCACCCAAAAAATATTACCGCCAGCCGGCGTGTAAATGGATTTAACTCTTTGAACGTACAATAGTGGTTGTGAAGCAGAAAGTCAGTTTATTTTGCACAATCGGCAAACTGCAGCACCAACTGTGCACGACAGCCACCAAAAAAAAAAAGGGTGTATGTCACTTTAAATTTTCGATTCTTTGATAGCTGTGGCCCTAAGTAACGATTCTGTGTCCCTGAGTAACGATTCTGTGTCCCTGAGTAACGATTCTGTGTCCCTGAGTAACGATTCTGTGGCCCTAAAGTCTCTGTGGCCCTAACTCTGTCCCTTAATACACACAGGTCTGTCTCTCTTGAATGACCGGAGGCTAATGGAGAATTCTAAGATGGCCGCGATTTATAGCTCCACCATTACACAGTGCTGGCTGGCTGCTGATTGGCTAATGCGATCACATGTCATGAATGCATTATGGGTCAGCGCGCCTTGTCTGCGCGCCTTCCCAGAGATCCCCGCCCCATCTTCTCTGTCCATTTTCTCCGTCGCCACACATGTCGCCGCCATTTTTGGGAAAATTCGATTCGTGCATCCGAAGTTTGCTAATCTTCGGATTCGTCGCGAATCGAATTTTTCCAAATCTTCGGAACGAATTCCACTTCGTCATGTTCGATTCGCTCATCTCTAATCAGTACCACTAGATGTTATTTCCATGAGAAGTAATGATTAAAATAAAAATAGTCTTTCCAAGTGATATTATCATGTTAACACATATAGGAGATTTTAGTGGTTGGGTTTACAGCTAGTTTATCAAATTATGTTAGAGATCTTTAACCGCCTCCCACCCACCATATAAGGTAATGACGGGCGCAAGGTGGTTCCCTCGTTCTGGGAGGACATCATATGACGTCTTCCCACTTTAACCACACGTGCGCAGCTCCGGGGGTGCGCAGTGAGGTGATCGGTGGTGCGTTGTGTCCCTCGGACACAGCGGATCACCGATCAATGGAAAGAGCCAAAGACATCAGCTCGGTCATGTGATCAGCTGTGTCCAATCACAGCTGATTGCATACAATCGCTGTCAGCTCAAGAGGAGAGGAGAGCCGGTAATCGGCATTCCTCAGAGGGGACATCTACACTGATCATCAGGGCACTGATGAAAGTATAAATGTTTGTTTTTATCCCACCTTAGTCTTTTCGTATCATTTTTTTGTAAATTTATGAATGGTATAGACACAGTCGTACATATGTGCTTTTTTATATGAAAGACTTCTGGCACTTAAGGGTTCATTGAAATCAAAGCTATATGGGAGAACCCCACAAGTCCCTGTGTCTATTATGCTGTTACACAGTTAATATTTATGTTAATGTACATGAGAATTCATATAGTTTATTCTTTGTACCATTTCCTATGGATGTTTCTATAGTTAGTTATATGCTGCCATTCAGTGGCCTTATTTGTTTTTGATATTACCTCCCTGAGATATATGACACAATTCCTGTGCATATGAAGCTCCTCCCTTCTTCTTGAGTACATCACTTCCTGTGTCATGGATGCAGCTAACAGACCACATGTAACAGGGACACATGTATTCTGCATAGTACGCTACAGAAATTATCATCTTTTGACCGCATAATACTGGAAACCATTCATTCTGCTGTATCCTGTTGTCACATGTACAGAATAAAGCAACTTCTGGATGAACACAGTATTGGTGAGTTCAGCTATCTGATAAGGATTGTCCACAGTGATTACATCTGCTTATACAGGCTAGGCAGAGAGGTCTCACAAGGGATAAATCGCTATCACAACAATCTGAGTCAGAATATCTATAGTTTTGAGGAAGAGAAAGGTTTTTTCCTTGAAACAGGTAGACTGATTGACAGCAGAACTAACTACAACAATCTGCATGCGCATGCACAAACTTGATGAAATTCATCACTGGATTACATTCAGTAGGAAGGATCTGTAAGAACATCCCCCTCACTGGATGACATCCATCTGTAAGGTTTCAGCTGGACAACTACATAGTACAGGTACAATCATTAAGCCGGTCATGATGGTTTGAATCCTGGCCTGTTCAGCAGAGACTGACCGAGATTTGAACCGTCTATGGGCAGGCTG